AATATCCCTGTGTACAGCAGTCATTCGAGTATATCCTGAAACAGATTCTTGCAATTCATGTGGTTGTGGTTATGGGAAACTTCATTACCACTAAGCACCTTAGCCAAATTTGTCAAAGCTGATCTTTCAGATGCTCGTTCGGTACCACGATGTCCAACTATTTGGTATTGGTATCTCAACCGGAGTGGATATCGAGGTGAGGCGAGGATGCCCTTGGCAGTTATCTAATTTTGCAGCATTGCAGAAGCAGCCTGCAAGGCAGTCTGTAGCTATGCAGTAGTGGCCTGAAGTGGCCTTGGGAGATAAAAGGAAGACTGCGACTAGTGATTCTGGTAGTCTAGTCTACAGGCGGAAGTATTTTCTCATGGCCACTTCTTGTTTTGAGATCACTTGAGCGTTGGCAGATTTAGCCTTCAGCAAAAGGAGGATTGGGCGCCGTTGTGGTTTAGAATGCCAGTCCGTGAGAAACTAGCGTTAGTTATTCCGTCAACCTTTTGTGGACGTGCGGGGCTGTCTGTGCTCAGTTGGACCACTAATATCTTTCCCAGCCTTTCAACGCGCCGTTTATGTGCTGCATCTTTACGGGCTCAGCCGCATCCTATGGATGCCCGAGGCTGCCTATGCTCAGTTAAACCAGCACTATCTTTCCAAGCCATTTTGTCTCGATGTGGCCATTAATGCGCCACGTCTTTAGGGGCTCAGCCAACCGAAACGAAGTGGATGGAGGTGCCACCTCATTTTTTCAATCTCGCATCCACACTGGTTCCACCAAACTGGGTGCTGCAGAACTTGGCATAGGGAAAAAGAGGCTCCGAAGTAGCAGTGCTTTAAGCTCGTTCATGGTCAAATGCGTTAAGAGGTCTGCAAATGGGTCTCACGGAATGATAAGTGTTTTGGCATTCAAGGTCACCCCACGGGCTGCGGGCCCACGACCTTGCGGTATGATGACAGCCATGCACCATTTATATTCGTGTTCCCGAAGGTACTCTCTCTTTTTAGAGGGACTTGCAATATGTCAAACCCTGGTAAGGTTCTTCGCATTGCAACAAATTAAACCACATGCTCCACTGCTTGTGCGGCCCCCCGTCAATTCCTTCGAGTTTCACTCTTGCGGGCATACACTTAACGCGTGAGATCCAACACTAAACGGATCAAATCGTCCAGCACTTAGCGTCCATCGTCCAGCACTTAGCATACACGAGCTTTCGTCTCTCAGTGTCAGTATCGGCCCTGCAGAGTGCTTTCGCCTTGGGCGTTCTGTTCGATATCCACGTATTTCACCACTCCACTGGAAACTCCCTCTGCCTCTAGTGGACTCTAGAAGCACGACTATCTAGCTCATGGCAGGTATCCTGTTTCAGATCAGAAGCATGTATATTGAAGTCTGGTCTGACCATGAGACTTTAATGGATCAAGATTCAAGACGCAGCCCATGCTGTCTAACATGCTCAAGAGATGATGCAAGTCATATATACATATGATATCACCCTCTAAAACGGTTTTCACCTATAACGGTGTCAAATGCAGATCCCAGGGCTCGATCCTTGGACCTTCCCCCTTGACGTGTATAGTACCTGTTTGACCCTATGTGTTTTGAACCCTTGACCTAGCCCTGAAAGTTGTATGTTCGATTGTTGTACATAGTTCGGTCATGAGGGTTTGACCCGTAGACCTGAGCCTGTGTTGCTAAGACATCGCAACGATGTGCTGCACTCACAAAAAACTGCCAGTGATATACTGGAGGAAGGTGGGGATGACGTCAAGTCCGCATGGCCCTTATGGGTTGGGCTACACACGTGCTACAATGGCAATGGCAATAGGAAGCAATGTTCGACTGTTGTACATAGTCCAGTCACGAGGGTTTGACCCGTACACCTGAGCCTTAGCAGTTGTAGGCTTACTATAGGTCTAAGGTCAAGTCTAGGACTTCTAGAAGCTTCAGAACTGTCGCTTCGTACGTCGTAGAGGTCAGTTCGTAGGTGAGTCAGCAAGGGACAGTCCTAGTACAGTCAGCAAAGGCCAGCCCCAGTCCTACCTTGTCTAGTCAGTGGTACCCAGTCCAGGCCATTTTTTGTCTAGTCAGCAAGTACCATGTGGGACTGTGTACATCCCGGGCCCAGGGTCTAGGGGCAGACCAACGACGATTCGAAGTAGGTCAAATCAAATATGATTTGATTCATCCGGAATAGGTGTAATTACTCAAATAAAAACAGCTTCGCTGGTTGTCGACAAAAAAATATCATAATTAATTACGACTGGCGTCAATGGTTTTTTGGTGATCACGCCTAACGGCGGCTTCCTGGAAGCGGGAATTCTTTGTCAAATTAAATAAAGTGAAGCTTATGGAAACCAAATATTTTTGTTTTTTAGAAATCATAGGTGTTGGATATAAATCTAGTATAAAAAAAGAGCAGCGTCAAGTCGTTCATTCATTCTACCTGTGAGCCGTGCGGAAGCGCTGTCGGAGCGTCTTGTGTACGGAGGTCTGCAGGTGCCCGAGGAAGAAGAGGGCTAAGAGGAGGAAGATGCTGCCATAGCCGTGAGTTGGCATAGGACGAAGACGGCAGCCATAGCTGTTTAGAGATAGAGGAAGTTTGTCCGTGTGTCTGTGTGTACGTGTGGGGCATTCATGGTGATCCTTGTGTGGGTGTTTGTGCGAACATGTTGCTGGTGGATACAGTTGATCGGGTGAGAATCTTTGTCTTGTGCAGTGTGCCATAGCCATTCGAGACAAGTTTGAATCTGAACTGTGTTCCTGGCCACATTCTTATCTCTGAGATTTGTGTGGGCGCATCGCACCAGTTGAGTCGTCATCTGTTTCCTCGCATGCTGAAGCGAGTTGAGTCGAGTCTGATTGCACCTCAAGCACATCAATGGTAGTTCAGTGTGGTAGTTGATGCATTGTCTAGTGACCGAATTCGAACTTGCCAAGACTACGTCAACAGTTGGGAGACTGCTTTCAGACAGAGCATTAGACACTTCACAGCACAACATGGAAAGGTGTGTGAGGAGTTCAAGATAGTTGACGGATTGCCAGTGCTGAGGAAGGCTGGGAAAGAACGATTATGTGTACAGAGTATAGAGTCTTTGCAAGGTTTGTTTCCCAGGGCTCGATCCCCAATCCTCACCTTACCTGTGTACAAACCTGTGTCGACCCTGAGAGTTGAACCCGTGACCTGGGTGTGTTTGCAGAAGTGGTAGTCAGTCGTAGGGTCTGTAGGTGTAGGGGTTCGATCTGTAGATCTGTCGAGTAGAAGTCTTAGGGAGCTCTAGAAGTCGTAGTTGTAGAACTTCCGAAGGGTCAAGGTCGTAGCTGCTACAGTCCTGAAAGGCCAAGGTCGTAGCTGCTACAGTCTTCGAAAGGCCCCAGACTTCTGGAAGGTCCTAGTAGTGGCCTTTCGAAGTTGCTCACGTTTAGGCTGAGGCAAGTGGGCAAGTGGTGGAGTCTACCCGTGCTGAGTCAGCAGTCCTAGTCCAGTCAAGCAAGTACCGCATGGGACTGTGTGCACCACAGGCATGGGAAAAGGGCAGACCAACGAGACACAGAAGTATAAATCAAGAGGCAACGCCCAGCCATTCATTCATTCCTGCGTAAGCCATGCGGAAGCGCTGCTACAACGACTTGTGCGAGGTGGTCTGCGGTGAGCCCGAAGACGAAGTGGGTGAGAAGGAGCTTAGCCATAGCGATAGGTTAGCAGCGGCCGCTGTAGGTGGAGTGTAGCGTGTGTGTGTGTATGGGTGTACAAAGTATCGCGTGTGGGATATCCTGTGTGTGCGAACAGAGAGTTGTGTGGGCGCTTTGTCGCCATAGCCATTGAAGTGAACTTGTACCTGAACTACGGTCTTGGCTACCATATCTCCGAGTTTCGAGTGGGTGGTTGTCGCCAGTTTGCTGCGCACCTGTTTGCATTCATGTGAGGTGGGAAAGATGGCGAGTCTGATTGCATCGATATCGGAGTTGGTACCCGTTATTCCACGCACGTCCATCGTGTGCCGCAGGGAGAGCTACGCGCCATAGCCCAAGTCGCCATCGGAGAAGAAGTCCGCCATAGCGGATCCGGAGGTTGAAGAAGCCACCGCGTGCACCTGCAAAGAAGACCACGACGAAGAAAAAGAGAAAGAAAGAGGGGGAGATCGTTGTGTAGTCCAGCGACGAGGAAGGAGGCGGCCATAGCCGCGGAGCTCGTACACAGAGTGACGAAGAGGTCAGTGAAGCGGAGGAAGTTACCGAGGAGGAAAGTGAAGCGGAGGAAGGTGAAGGGAGAGGCGAACCAAAAAAAAAAAAAAAGAGACAAGAGTAGACAGCCGGGGTGAAGGAGAAAGAGGCGAGGAAAGAGGAAGGAAGGAGAAGGGTGGCGAGGAAGGAGAAGACGGCAGCCATAGCTGATCGGAAGGGTTGACCGGGGGCGTTGACCGGAGTTGACTGGGGATTGACTGCAGCGTTGACCAAGCGTTGACCCAGGTGTTGACCAAGATAGTTGACCACGATTTTGACCAAGCTGGAACGGGTGTAATCTCGCCAAGCCTTCAGCCTATCCCCTCGCCCTATGGATGTGCACGCGCCCTGTGGTACTTGATGAGTCAAGTCTGTCTGTCTCTTCTTTCTGCATTGAGTCTCTTCTATCCAGGTGATAGGAACTAAGTGGATGAAGGATAAGGCCTTGTTGAGCAAACCCATTGGGGCTGAGTAGGACTAAAGACTGTGTCTGACGACTCGACTGTCCTGGAGGACACGAACCCTCCCAGGGACCGGTACTGACCGGCGGGCTGCTCCGTGTGGCAGGGTAGGCCCAAAATCCGATGTGGGCTGCACAACAGGCCGTCTAAGTCGTGAGAGGACCTGCTGATAGCGTCGTCCTGTCTGCGACGTTAAATAATTCCTGAGGAGTTATGGGGGATCTCCTTAAATGCCTCCTGATCAGCAACAGGTCATGTAGTGACAGCCTTAAAGGAGGTCTAGGCTAGAGACCCTAGTTGGCAGGATCCTGTCCGGAATGTAAGTCCTTAGATTGAGTCAGTAGGTCGTGTCAGTCAGGGGGTAGTGGTGAGGAGTGGAACCGTTGTTCGGTTGTGCACCAGACACCATGGTTGACACCCATAGTGGGAAGAGTACTGGCCCCTATACCCAAGCTCAAGAGGAGCAAGCCCCCGCTACACTGAGAGAGAGAAGGGAGAAGGAGCTCCTCAAGCAATCGAAGTTGAAGGCGATAGCGGAGGAGCAGGCGGCGAAGAAGAAGAAGTTAGAAGAAGAGATGATGAGATTTCAGAAGGAGAAGATGTTGAAGTTACAACAGGAGGAGGAAGAGAAGAGGAAGGCTGCCGAAGAAGAAGCGACAGCAGAGGAGGAGGAAATCGAAGAAGAACCCCTCCAAAGGAGACGCATGGAAGAACGGGGGGAAAGCAGTGGCAAGGAGGGGGAAGACGCATGGCTGGAGAAGAAAATTAGTGAGTGGGTAGCTAACTTATCGTTGGGAGAGGATGAGGAGGCATTGTTGTACGTGCCGCAGGAGGAGAGAAGCATTTGCCAGGGAATTGGAAGCGATGGAGGACCCCCTGGAACGCCAAACGGCAGAAGATGAAAAAAAGTTGAAGTGGAAGTTGCGTATGATGAGGGAGAAAAAGAGGAGGAGGGAGGAAGCCAACCGGATGGCTAGAGAGGTGGAGAGAGTACAGGCGTGCAGACGAGGTACAGGCACAAGCAGAGACCCTCGCAAAGTTGGACAAAATTTTGGGGTACTTGGAGGTAATGAGCGAGGCCTGGCTATCAGGCTAACAAGGGTGAAGATGTGACCCTTCATGCCATCCAGTCTGGATTCAGAGAGTTTGTGCGCGACGTGGTGACCCACGTCGGGACCGAAGTTAAGAGATTAAAGGAAAGCGCTAAGAAGTTTTGCGCAGGCGCCATTGAAGGCGCCAAAGTGGTGGCCACAGTAGAGGCCACGTCGCGTCCCCGCAAAGAGCCTGTAAAGCTCAAATTTCCGGACGCATATAGCGGGAAAAAGGACGATAGTTTGATAATTGGGAGGCTAGCATAAATACATGTGTACTTGCAGCATATCGCTTCCGAGGAACAAGTCCTCGAAGCCTTCCATGCATTGAAGGACGAGCCGGCCAGCTTCGCCAGGTCCCTTGCGCGCGCTGCTGATTGTGAGCATAATATGATTGCATATTCTAGGCTCACCCCTCTCTCTAACTCCTGCGTGAGAGATTCGCTGACGCCACAAGGGGCATCAGGGCCTCTGACAAACTCCAAACCATGCACTTGCGGTAGTGGAGTAGTGCACGAAGCTGTCATGGACGACTTGGTAGCCGTCCCAAACCACGGGGTCATTGAGACCCAGTTGGTCCAATTGTTCTATCATGCCTTGCCAGAGCCCTTGCGAGGGCACTTCTTTGACAAGACCCAACATGCCAACATTACGTATGACGCGCTAAGTAGAGAAGTGGTCCTGTTTGAGGCGAGGTCCATGCCAGTTTCCACTTTCTGGCATAAGGACTTGGATAAGGGCAAAAAGTGGAAGGGTCGTACCATCCCTGGCCAAGTTAGGGCTAAGGATCATTTGTTCCTTACTTCAGACGAAGGTGGTACAAACGAAGTCCCCTACAGTCAGATTGACTGGGGGTTCGAGGAGGACAGTAGTGTAGGCCAGGGGAGGACCTATGCTGCTGTCGCGGCTGGAGGGAGGCCGCAAAGTGGAGGAGGAGGCCAGGGCCAAAGGGGCCAGGCCATGGGTGGTCGAGGTCCGGGTGCACAGGGGGTTGGCTGTCAAGGGAACCGTCAAGTGGGAGGTAGGGGTCAAGGTCCCCCGCTGAATCGCTCAGGCCCCAGTCGGTCGCTGCAGCGCAGAGGTGGAAGGTCACCTCAAAGGCAAGGAGGTTGGCACCCAGGTTGGCCACAAGGCCGACCTTGGGAAGATCTGGGTCTGGATCAGAAAGTGTGGCAACAACGTATGGAGCACGGGCAGTGCATTTATTGTGGTGACCTTGCCCCGATGGGCTGCCCAGGAGTCAAAAGGCAGCCGCCGGTAGGGGTTGCAACTGCCCCTACTACGAGGCCATGTGGGGACGCGAGCGCGCGCGTACAGGGAACTCCCACACCACATGCGCCTTCGGCAGAGGTTGCTGGCCCGTGCCTAGTTAGCTGTCCAAAGACTGCTTGTGTTAGCATCTCTCTAGGCACTTCCCTCACAGGCGTGGCAGGAGAGTTGAAGGAGAGAATGCCTGCCTGGGCCAAAATGAAGAAGGATAGTAAAGGACAACTAGTCTTAGTGGATGTAGAGGTCTTTAGAAGTAGAGTAGGGGCCCTTAGAGATTCAGGGGCTACCCGCAATTATATTAGCAATAAAGCACTGAAGAAGCTAAGGCTAGGGTTAAAAGTCCAGAAGTTGGAAGACCCCATAGTGTCCTCGCAGACAACCGCACTAAGCGTGTTGAGGACTCCGTAGAGGGAGTCCAGGCGTATTTCGTCCTAGAGAAAGATGGGAAGGTGGAGAAAGTTTTCCATTCCCTGACTCTCCTCGTACAGGATGACCTTCCTTTTGATATAGTCCTAGGCATGGACTGGGGAGAGGCAACAGGGGCCACACTTCATTTGAGAGAGCATGGGAGGTTAAGACTGCCCGCCTGTTTCATGTGTCTGGAGTAGATAATTCCGTGGCACATTGCTGTCTCAGTGCTCCCGCGTTCGCGCGCTTAGTGAGAAGGAGCAGTTAGAGGATCAGGTCTCCGTAGCATATGTCAGACCTGTTACTGAGCCTGAGGAAGAGGATAGTGCGATGGGTCCAGCCATTGCCAAGCTACTGGAAGAGTTTAAAGATTTGACAGAGCCGCCACAGTTGTAGTGCCGCGGCCAATCCAACCTCGTATTGAGATAGAGCCTGGCAGCAGGACTCCTAAGGGAGCAGTCTACAGGATGTCCCCAAGGGAGTTAGAGGAGCTGCATAAGCAGTTAGACGAGCTCCTCGAAAAGGGTTGGATTAGGCCCAGTTCATCTCCTTTTGGAGCAACCGTTTTGTTCGTCCCCAAGAAGGAAGGAGAATTGCGTATGTGTATAGACTATAGGGGTCTGAATGCGATCACGGTAAAGAACGTTGAGCCTCTGCCCAGGATAGACGATCTCTTAGATCGGGTGCAGGGTTGCAAATATTTTTCAAAGATCGATTTAAAGTCCGGATATCATCAGATAGAGGTCCATCCTGATGACCAGTACAACACTGCATTCCGGACTAGGTATGGGCACTACGAGTTCATAGTGATGCCTTTTGGACTGACCAATGCGCCAACTACATTTCAGCGATGTTGGAATGATTTGTTTAGGCTGTGGTTAGATAGATTTGTCGTAGTGTATTTAGACGACATCTTAGTGTTCAGTAGAACCCTCCAAGAGCACCAAGGTCATTTGAGGCAGATCTTGAAGAAAATGAGAGAGGCTAACTTCAAGATCAACGCGAAGAAGTGCGAGTGGGCCAAGACACAAGTTTTATACTTGGGCCACGTGTTAGACGGAGATGGCATTAAGCCTGAGGATAGCAAGATAGCGGCGATTAGCGATTGGCCGATGCCCCGCACACTGATTGAGTTGCGGTCATTCCTCGGCCTTACTATAGGAAGTTCGTGAGGAACTTCTCGACTACCGCCGCTCCCCTTCGCAGGTTGCTCAAGAAAGAGTCAATCTGGCAGTGGGATAAAGACTGTACGTCTGCGCTAAAGAAGTTAAAGCGCGCATTAATAGAGTACCCTGTCCTCAAGGTAGCAGATCCGTCTTTGCCATTCGTCGTCACCACGGGCGCGAGTCGGTATGGTATAGGCGCTGTGTTATAGCAGGACGACGGCAATGGCTACAGACCCGTAGAGTTCATGTCAGCGAGGATGCCCTCAGAGAAGGTAGCCACCTCGACGTACGAGAGAAAACTCTATGCTCTCAGGCAAGCCTTAGAGCATTGGAAGCATGGGAGGCACTTCTATGTGTATTCAGACCACGAGACACTTAGGTGGCTGAAGACACAGGCCAAAATGACACCTAAGTTGACTAGGTGGGCCGCAGAGATAGACCAGTACGACTTTGAGCGCAAGCCTGTTAAAGGCAAGTATAATGTTGTTGTGGATGCTCTAAGTAGGAGATCAAACTACTTTGGAGCTATAGTTCACTATCTGCAGGAGAAAGTTAGACAGGCGTATGTGCAGGACCCTATTTATAGTGACCTGTTTAGAGTCAAGGAGGCCCCTATTTAGACAGGCGTATGTGCAGGACCCTATTTAGAGTCAAGGAGGCTCCAGAGACCGAACCAGACTACCGCACTACAGAGGGACTGTTGTTTGAGAAGACTAATGTAGTAGACCGCCTGTGCGTTCCCAACAGTGAGGAGATCCGCGGTTTGATCTTAGGGGAATGCCACAACACAGAGGGACATTTTGGTTGGCAAAAGACTTTAGCCAACCTCATGTATGCGTATACCTGGCCAGGAATGAAGAACGACTGCATAGAGTATGTCCGCAGTTGTAAAGTTTGCCAAAGAAATAAGACCACTACCCGTGCCCCTCTAGGTCTTCTTAGACCCTTGCCTATTCCTGATCAGCCAGGAGATTCAGTGTCCATTGACTTTATGGACACCGGCGTCAAGAGTAGGCATGACAAGAGCCAAGTCATGGTTATAGTCAATAGATTTAGCAAGTATGCATTTTTTGTTCCTTTGCCTACAGAGGCACGCACCGAGATAGTAATTCAGAAGTTTTTTGATTTTTGGGTTAGTGAGCATGGCGTCCCATTGTCTATTGTTAGTGATAGAGATACTCGCTTCACGAGTGAGAACTGGTAGGAACTAATGAGAGTCTATGGGTCAAAGTTCTTGATGTCATCTGGCTGTCATCCAGAGACTAACGATCAAATGAACGAGATCCTGCAGCAAGTTCTGCGTATTTACATTAGACCAGATCAAGTCAATTGGGACGAGATGTTGCCCAAGGTAGCCAGTGCGTACAATAACAACGTGCACTTGTCCACCTGTCGCACCCCAATGAGTTGCACAAGTCCTTTGTACCGCGTAGACCATTTGAAGGACTTAACCGGGATCAGATTCACAGGCTACCGCCCGGTACCAGGGAGTTTGCGATACAACACGAGAAAGAGCTAGCTACTATTGTTGAGAACCTCAGGAAGCCCCAACACCGGATGATAGAACAGGCTAATAAGCACCGTCGCCCGTCACAATTCCAAGTAGGCCACTTAGTGTGGGTCAAGTCCAAAGAGTTTGCTCCCAAGGAAAACATCTCGCAGAAGTTACTGCCTGCGTATCGAGGACCGTGGCCAGTTCTAGAAGCTAAGGGCGGAGAGGATGGGCCGTCCTACACAGTAGGGATCCCAACACACCTCCACACCTATCCTGTATATCATGCATCAAAGTTGTTGCCGTGTGTCACAAGTGAGCAGTTTCCATCTAGAAGGTCCA